TTCTCTCTCCACCTTATTTCTCCCAGGACAGAAAGGAGACATGTATATTGGTTCTTCACATTTCACAGCACTGGTTTTGGGAGCCATAGGGTAATAGAGCTGAAAAAAAAAAATCAGCTCTTTCATAGGTATTTTTTCCTATACACTTTAAACATCTGGATTCTTTCTTTATTTTCTTAAAAAATGAGTTAGAACAGAACCAGCATATCTAGAGCTTATTTGAGGCACTGTAAGTATCATGATATAAAATATTTTAAAAATTACTCTTTTTTTTTTATAAATTCACCAAGTTCATTATCTTGTATTTAGGAAGAATCTAGCTTGAGACTACTTTTTGGTTGCTGGAACAAAACAGAAGAACAACCTGTTTCATTTTCTGTATATAGACATACAGAAACAATGAATATATATGTATATATGTGTATATATATATATATATATATATATATGCATGTACACATGTATACACACATATAGATTGATATTCCATTCACAGGTAAGTTATATTTGTCTCATAAAACTAATGATGCTATTTTGTTAAAACATTTCCCCTTAAACATTTACACATTTGATTCTTTTTAATTTCTTTTTAAGTTCTAAAGCAAAGGCTTATAAAATAATATTGTGTTGTTTAACTTTTCCCACATTTTACATAAAGAGCTTGATTGCTTGGAAAACATTGTAAAAAAGTCATTGTAGAGTTAATATGAACATTGCTGCCCCTTTAATTTTCTTAAAAAGAATATTCACTAATTGAAAAAGGATTTTTAAAATCCTTTTTTTTAAACTACATATCTGTGGGATGCCAAATTTTCTTCATGTATCTCAACCAAAACAAAATATTAAAACAGCAAATGCAGAAGATATGACAATCCAGTTGTCTTATTAAAACATATATTGAAGAAATTTACATTAATGTAAAGAAAAACTATATAGGAATTCTCGCTAAATTATTTTTTTTTTATTTTGGAAAATGTAATTATTTTTATGTTTTTATTCTTACATCAATGGTGTTATTGTTATTTCAAAAGACTATTTTTCTGTTTTGATTTATAGTACAATAAGTATTGATAGATTAGAATATTATTTTATATTTTTGGGCAGTTATATTTTTAAAAAGAGGAAGGTTGGACTAGATTTTTTTCTTCTCAAAATGTAGTTTGAAATGGTCTATAATAGATCTACTTGAAGTACTGGTTAAAATATAGATACTGAGACTTGACCCAGACTCACCAAGTCAGAATCTATGAAAGAGAGGCCTTTGAAAAGAGGACCTTGGAGCTTTTTCAGGTTCCTTTAAAATTTGAGTGTTACCTATCAGATGACCTCTGTTGATTTTGTTCCAGGTGAATAAACTCCAGAATCTCTGAACCCCTATCTCCTGCAAGGGCAGGCTGGATGCCTAGGTTACCCCTGGCCCCAAGACCATCTACACATTTCTCCTTTATAAGGTTGGCAGACAAAAATAGAGTACACTCAGTTAAATTTGAAATTCAGATAAACAATGAATTCTTTTAGTATAAATATGCTGTATTTAGAAGATTGACTATATATATATATATATCCAATTATTGGGTAAATATTCAATATTTGGGTTATATATATAATCCAAATGTGTGGAACATATTTGTCCTATTTTCTGTTTGTGTGCTTTGTTTTGCTAAATCTGTCAGGCCCATCATTTTTCCACCACTACTTCCTGGTGGTACTATCCGTAAATAGACTAAGTGAGACAATATGGGAAAGTCTTACCCACAAGATTTATTAATTGCCTAGACTTAGGGTCAGGTGGGAACCCAGAAACACTCTTATAATAACAGTTAAGCCTTTATCCATGATCTCACACTCTTATAAAGCAAACCCCTCTAAACTTTCCCCAGATTTCTTTTGGAAAGCATCTCCATGGAGCTCACGTGGCTCTGCTTCCAATTACTGCTTACTTCATCTCACTGTGGTATTTCTCATTTTAAAGTCATTGGCTCATTGGAAGCAACCTCATTGCCAGAGCGACTGGGAGGAGAGAACATGCAGTTTAATCTCTAATGAAGCCTTGTTCCATTATGTCAAAATTCACCTCTCCTTTTACTTGTCCTTACATGTGTCATCTTAAGAATGTAAACATCTTTGGGCTCCCTTTTATTTTGTCTGCCTCTCCAGGTCTCAGGGACCTTTGTTCACACTGGTAATGTTCTGGGTTCTTCATATTTCTACTAACCAATATGTTCTCCTCTTCCAAAAATACAGATTTCCTTCTGAACAATATTGCCCACTCAACAATCTTTCTAACCTTTTCTGATTCTACTTGCTGTACAGAAGATGATTTCCAGATTTTGCTGTCAAAGAAGGATTCTGTTTTAAAGAAAGTTTTCGAAAATAAAATAGAGAAATATTTTTTTAATATCAACTTACCAGTTAATATTTCCCTTTTCTACCTACATCAGCTGCAACTAACAACCTGTAAAGATGGTCTTTCATTTTCATTTATCCTTCATTGAGTAGAGGGTGGGTCTGATTTTCTCATATCTGGCATTCTTCTCAAATGACTTTCATAGCTGATTTTTACTTTGGCAACTGCCATACCAGGTTCCCACATATAACATGGTATTTGGCCTTGTTTAGGGTCCAGATGAGAAACAAGATGCTGCCTTCAAAAACTGAAGTTACATTTTATGCTAACAAGGATGTTCTCCTGAATTTTAAAAGGTAAGTGTTCCTGTTTCCATTCAACCCAGAAGTTTAAACTAGAACTTGACTTTGGGAAACATCTTACTAAAAAAATCTTAGTAAATAACTTGAGTGGGAGCTATGTTTGTGTTTGGTGAATTATGTCAGATTTTTTTTCAGGTAATTAATTGACTACCCCCAGAAAACTCCACTATGATACCTTCAGATCTATTTGTTTTTAAAACTGATGGTTTCAACTAATGCAAAGAAAGTATCAAGTTCTCACATCCAGCCAGATTGCAGAAAGAAAAATTAAATGAACCATTTATATTTGTCTACACCGCATACGATAATTCTCTAGCTGAGCTATGTTGTTTTCTTTAAAACAGAAGTTTTCCTCTTTTTTTTTTTTTTTAATTATTTACTGTCTAAAAGTCTGTGTCTGCTGTCATTACCCACACTTGTCTGATAACCATTGTAGGTTTCTTTTAAGAACAGTACTTTTACCAGGTTCATATTTCTCTAAGCTTATTTTTTCCTCATACTGTAAAAATAAGATTATAAGAATATTAAAGGGAATTTTGAGAAAAAAAATCACATTGTTAACATTACCTAGCAAGACTATTTTTATTTACTTAGGTTGCTTTTCATTCCCTTTTTTTTTCAAACAATATGTACATATGTGTTACAGTTACAATAAAATTTGGTGCATGTTTTAGTTTTGGAAAATTTTTACTTTATATGGTTATTTTAAGAATTACATGGCAATATAAATGTGAATGTATTCGGCATACCGCCTATCAGATAGGTACTTAAACTGATCTTTGAAGCTGTGACTCTAAGTTAACTTTTTTTTAATATTGTAAAGTATACAATATCTAATCAGGATGGTGCCTCAAAACTCAGGTAAGATGTTGTGGTTGCACATTTTTTGCTTTTCTTTTTTTTTTTTTTTTTTCCTTTTTTTATTACAGATAATGAGAACGAATGTTAGCCTTTTTTTTCTTTCTATGAATTTTTGGGACTGGGATTCCTATATCAGAAGATCTGAACACTGGGCTATCAAAAGATTATGTCAGTTCCCATTGCCATCAAGATAGTTACAGCATCATCAAATTATCACGATAGTTTCTTACTAACCTGAAATCTGATAATAAAACAAACCTATAAAATACTGTTTATTTTTATTAAGTGTCTTTCTTTTATTTCTTGCATTACCATGAAGGCCAGACCTTTTCTGAAATTCTATGTGCTATTTAGTTTTTATTATTTATTACCTATGTCTGTTATCTGTTTCCATCTTTTTTTAAATACATTTTTTTTAATAGGTTTAAGTTATAGACTACAAGGTTTTTTGCTGGGGGTGGAGAAATAATACAGTTCAGTGGATCCAAGAAAGGACTGGAAGGCTGAGAGCTCCAAAGGTAGGAACTCAGGGACCTCATAGGACACCATGGGATTTGATGGAGTCTCCAGTGATGGCTGTGGGTGCCAGAGACTTTGCCAGAGAAGGCAGATAAAGCACAACAGTAGAGAGAGGATGACGATGATGGTAAAGTAACAATTCCCACTCTCAATACTGTCTCCTTAGGTACATTAGACATTTCTTATTGCCCGTGATTTTTTTTTTTTTAATTGGATCCTTTAGGAAAGCTAAATCACACCATCAAACTTCTCTTTGACCAAGATGCTCCCAACTATGTCTGGTTAAAAAATCTTTGGTAGAAAGAAGGGAAAGTGAAAAACCTAAATTTGATGCAGTTGGACACTATTTTTAGTCTGTGAGAATGTTCACAATCCCCTTTGCTTCAAAAAGGAAAATTGACAAACAAATAAATAGAAAAATAGTTAAATAGACATGTAAAGAAGCACTTTATGAATCCTTGGGTCGGAGGTTGTGACTGTGAATTCCTTAGGAAATAAAAACATAGACAATTTGAGATATTCACTTCTTCCTAGTGCCTCTTCCTCTTTTATCCCTCTTTATTTTTATTGTCATCAATTTAAAGACTCAAGAAAAGAAACAGAAATATATATATATGAAATATATATATATATAAAATACATTATAAGAAATATCATATTTATTTTTTAGAAATAAATAGAAATTTAGAAAATTTCTAAATAGAAATTTAGGAAACCTTGTATTTATTTATATATATAAGAAAGATTAAATATATATAATCTACTTCAGATGATTATCAGAAAGTGGTTGTTGACCTCTGATACCAAGACAGAGAAAGAGACTCAAACCTGAATACTTGACAAGCGAACCCAAGGAAGTGATAACAGTTTACTGTTTTGAGCAGAAAAAGGATATGATGAGTTAAGCGCCAAAAGGATATAGATATTTCACAAATTTGCATGTCATCCTTGCCCACGGGCCATGTTAATCTACTCTGTATCCTTCCGATTTTAGTATACATGCTGCTGAAGTGAGCACAGGATGTAGATATTTCAAAAAACACTATATTACCACCCCAAGCATCACCTAAGAATTAATTAACATATGCTTGATTCATGCTCACAATCTGCTTGTGTATTAATAAGCCTGTTCTGTTTTCCCGCATGTGAAAAAAGGGAGATGCAAAGAGGGTTTCCCTTCTTTTGACTTTTCACCAGGCGTGATAAGTAAAGTACAGTAACTGGACTTTCCAATATTTCCTGGCCCTTTGAGAAAAAAGGCATCATTAAAAGAAATAAATTAATTTAAAATGGAGGGGGAATCGGTTGCAAAATAGGTGTAAAACTTTACTTAAAAGCTATTTCTACTCATGACATTTTCTCTGCATAGTGTAATAGAGTTATAGTTGCAGTAATGGTTTGCTTATGGGCAAGCAATTAGGCACCTGCCGTCACTCCACAGGATGTAGATTTCACATGAATAGCTGTTTTATAAATAAACAAATAGAAACTCATATATGTAATGGCACAGGCAAACACTGCTTGGATTTTAAGTTTTAAAAAGACAGTTCCACACTTTTTCGAAGTCATTTGTTTCCATATATAGTTGGATTCAACTCAGCATTTTCATTTTCCACATGAATAATTAATAATATCATTATTATCCTTATAATCCTCTATTGCAATTTAACCATAAGAGGGCTGTAATGAGTCACTGCATTAAGGTAAATATAAGCTCATATAAATATGAGCCATGCAGATAGTCAATGTAAGTGTGCAATTTCTCAGATGTGGGCAGAAGTTTATTTTTGATTATCCGTCCCTCTTCATAGGCTTGGTGCTCTGTCCTGGGGGAGCACGATTACTGCCTCAGGCTCCCTCATATGTTCTCTGGATCTTGAATTGCTCCCTGTTTTAACATGTCTTCTGCAGTCTATGGAGCTCTTTGCAATTTATTCGAAGTCATAAACAATTGATCTGAACTCTGAGCTCTGCCGTGTACCACCTAAGTGACCCTACTACATTAGCTGCATGACTTTCCAAAGCCTGAATATCTTCACATGAAAAATGGGGGCTAGAAATAGTAATCACCTCAGAGGTGAGTGTAGAGAATCTTCACTCAGACAGTTGGGTAATGGGTCTCATGAGCAGGACAGCTTCTCTGAGACTGAGCTACAAGGTAACAGTAAGCTGCCCTTATACTGGCCTGGGAGGTTGTTCCTTCTCTATCTGTGATTGATTTGCTCTGGACCCAAAGAGCCTGGACCTCAACTATCTGCAGCAGAGCTGGGCAGCTGGGCTGGAACTGACAAATGGTTTCACCAAAACCCGTGGGTAACAAGGGAAATTAGTTTATGAGGTTTACGTGATGCAGTCTTGTAAGACTTAAAAAGAGCCAAATGATGTTAGGAAGGAAGATTGTATAAAATAAGCTAGTGAAAGACAAGGGATTTCATTAATTTAGAAAACTGAACGTGTAGTTTAAAGCATGCAAAGGTGTACAAGTTGTTTTATTTGGAAAGTTCTCAGTTCTCAGATTTTATGTAAATAACATGTTAAAATAAGACTGAAAACTTCAGCAGATAGAGTTATAGAGCAGTGAAAGCCTAGACTTTGGAAACAGGTGTATCTGATCTTGAATATCAGGTTCACTGTTTAACTTTAAGACTTAAAGAAATTGCTTAGCCTCTCAAAAATCACTGTCCTTATTGGTAAAAGAATGATAATGATAGCTGTCTTAGGGTCAGCAACCAGTCACTTAGAAGATTATCTGCCTGAAATTAAATCTCAATAAATTTTAGGTATAATATTGAGACAAGTAAGAAATGAAGCCAAGGAACATGGGAGAGGGTGACAAATGAAATTGAAGGTCTCCTGGAAAGATAGACTTGGTTTCTAAAGATAAATTTATAATAACTCAGAAAGGAAATCACATCAGACCATTTTTATAAAGGTTGAAATGCTCTTAATTCTACCAAATTTCCCCCCAAAGATATTTATCAAAATTTACCCCCCAAAAATTGAGTTCTGAATTATTTAACTCTGATTTAAAAAATCTCTAAAATTAAGTCAAGATTTATGAAAGGATAAGGTAAGAATTTTGTATCAGAAACTATGATGCAGTCTCAGGTTAGAATAAGGTTATTGGTGGTCCTTATTTAATAGGTTAATAATTGCTATTGAGTATACAAATTTGATTTCATGTAGGAAAAATATGATATTTGTGATAATTTTTATACACAATACCAGGTCTTTACTCTAGTCAGGGTTAAAATGTAAAATTATTTCTAAAGGAAATCCCAGGTACAATTTATGTGATTCTGACCTATTGTGAACTTCAGCCACATAACCAAAATCAGACAAGGGATCTTACTTCTTCTTGAGGCCTGAGTTTTAGTTTTGAAAATCCAAACGTTGCTGAAACATTTTCATAAAACACTGCTGTATCACCTAACTTTTCTTGGATTGTATTGTGTATGATAATACTAGATGAAACGAACTGTTGTATTCAGAAAACATACAAAGCAATGACTTTAACTCCTGTTCGATATTTACCTCCTACACGTGGATTTTTTCTGTGCTGTTTCTTACCTAAAGGCTCACTTTCAGCAAGAATCTGAGCACATCTCCTTCCCACAAACAACAGTCACAATTTATGTTGACACACCTCTTGCTGTCTTTGTTGCTTCCAAAGGAATTCAACAAAAACAAGAGGGATTAATGAAGGCAGTTGAAGCTCATATGCACTCAAAAACTTGCCAAGTTTGAAGTCAAATTAGGAATTGACATTAAACCTTGAAAAGTTGGTTGTAAAGAATAGGATAGCAACTAAAATTTACAGCAGAATAAAATGTTAGAGTCCTAATAAATGTTCAAGGAGAATATTTATTCTAAAAGAGTAGATTCATCCCAAGGTTATGTTGGATTTCAGAGATACATTTCTGTAAGTTCCTACATAAAAAGTGGAGAAAGAGAATATTTTAACAATTCATGGAAAAAAAATAGTTCTCTTAAATTACTGTAAAACTACCTATAGCTTTTGTCAATTATAATATATTTCCATTATGAGACTCTGAGAGTCACCGTAATACAATCAGAATTGTGAAATGTACAAAAAACAACAACTAACATTCTGTATCCAAAGCAGAAGCACCATACCCAAGAAGAGACTGGCCATTTTTCTACTAGTTCATTTCCTGCCAGCTCCCATGACATTTAATAAATCCCAGAATCCTAGAGCCACACCTACCTCACCTACACGTTATTAGCTATCAAATGGTTAGATGGGAACAGCACTAGTTAGATGCAACTAAAGCTTGTGTTTGATAGCAACGCACAGAGGGTTGATTTTCAATAACTTCAATAATTTCAATAAAGAAAAATAAGAAAACTTTACTCAGACTGTCATAACAATTGAGAAAGCTGCTCTAACACTACCTCCACCTCCCAAATTCTAGAGCAATTTATCCTTTCCAATGGTCAAAGCTAGAATGGATCATAGATACAGTAATGCAAATTTAAAAGTATGTTTAATTCTCATAATAAAGTAGCTGCCTCTAGTATTTTTCAGAGCATACTGCCAGAAATCTCCCTATACTCCCACATCATGTAGCTCTGTCTAAATAGAAATCAGAATGGCCAGAGTTATAGAAATTGATTTGCTGAGAAATGAGAAGTATTTGGCCTTGGAAATGTGAGCAATTGTTGCATAAAGAAATTAAGAACTTTCTGCAAGTAGTGGTGAAGGTCCTGACTCAAGAATATGGCCTCTCAGCGCAGACAGACTGACAGGGACAAACTGTAACACCAATGAACAGAGCAAAGAAGAAGAGCATCAAGGTGGAGATATTTCATCTGTACCTGGTTAGCACTGATGAGATGTGGAGTTTGGTGAAGCATCCCATTTATTAAGAAGCATGCATACTGTAGAATTTGCTATGTGGCAGGTAATAATCTAAGCTCATTAAAGATATTAGTTATAATTATCTTCATAACAATCTATGAGATAGGAACATACACACATGTTTTGCAGATGAGAACGTTGAAGCACGGAGTGGTCGAGCAGCTTGCCTAAGAACACAGAGACCGTAAATGGTGTGCTCAGGATTGGGAGCCTGAGCACCTCTAAGCTGGTGCTGTGTTGTCAACTACAGTGATGAGTATTTGCAGAAAGTTCAGTGGGATTCTTTGCCTCAGTTTCAGCAAAGACCTCAACTGTAAGAGAATAAAAAAAGAAATTAGTACAAGTGCCCCCACATTCCAAAGAGGGGCCTTTTGCAAAAATTCAAAATCAATCAAAGTTGATTAGGTTATGCTGCCATAAAGAGTGACCCTCCTCCCAGGGGCTCAATCACAGAAAAATGTTTCTTGTTCAAGCTATAGAATATCACATGTTGACTGGGGTTTCTCCCCATCTCCACTCTGAGACCCAGGCTAGGGATGAAGCCCTTCATCCAGAACACTGTCATTTGTCCTGTGAGAGAGAAAGAAGGCCCTGGCACATTTTGCATCAGTGTTTTATATGCCTATCTGTAATGATTGTTACTTCAATTTACAACTTGTTGGCCAGAGTTAGTTACACAGTCCTTCCAACCAACAGAGGAACTAGGAGGACAATCTTACCTTGCAAGTGGAAAGGTATGGGGAGAAGGAACCATGTGAAAGAGTTGGAGGACAAGAATGTTGTGCAAACAGCAGTTCTTATCTCCACTACCAAGATAGCTTAAACCTTCTTTTTAAATACTTAGCCCCTCACCTACTCAATGACCAAAAAATATCTAAGTATAATGGTCGTGGACATTGAAACTGGTGAGATAATATCTTTAGGAGAAGTTGTTGGAGTTCCTGGCATTGTCTTACTGTCTTCCATGGAGAGAGGAAAAACATGCTCACTTTCTTCCCCTCAAGTCTAAGGCACTACTTGCAGAGGTTAGTTTGTTCCTCTGGAATTTGGGGACCCACTGAACTGATGCCTGCGTCGCAGCTGAGCAATCATGCGACAGGCTGACCACAGCTCTTTTCTACAGAGTATATGATATT